CAATGACTCGTGCGATAATTCTTTGGTGTGAAGAGATTACCGCTTACAATTGGATAATATATAGCTTAAGTCAGTGTAACTAAGCTTGGATGAAGAAGAAGAACTGAAATCACTTCTATTTATAGGTCTGGGAGGATTTCGAAAATCACAAGAATGCCCTCCAACTTCTTTTAAACAAGAAGTGAAATTACAAAGGTGGCGCCCGCCATGGGGGTGTGGCGGCCGCCATGCTCCAAAAATGAATAATTAGTGGAGAACGTGGCAGTTGGCAGTTGGCTGAAGGTGGCATGGTTGACCCTATGGCGGGCCCCATGGTGGAAGCCATAAGTGTAAAAACTCTAAAATCTTGATTTTTAGCTCGTTTTTCTTCATTTCTTCAAGCAAGGCTTAGGAAAGACAAAAAACTGAAAACAAAACAAAATGCAATCATAACACAATAAAATAACAATAAAAACCTAATAAATATGTGCGAATCGAGTCAAATATGTAGTGCGATTCAGTGTTATCAACGCGCACCTCTAGGGTGACCCCCACTTGTTGCCTCGGATAAAAACAGTCATGTCCCTCGAACGTGGGACGCTTTAGCAAAGACCCTCAATTAAAAAGATTGTAGTCCCTCGATGATCCTTCGATGCTGCCTTCGTTATACGATCTTAGTCTCTTACGACAAATTGCTAAAGCTCCATACAAATTGCCTTTATGACTATACGATGACACGCGCCTGTCTCTCGAACATCCAATGATAAGGCTTCCTACTAATTAATGGTAGGATAGCATTATCTAAAGGATGAGGAAAATAACACGAAAGACTCTTCAGTAGGTAGATAGCTCGTAGTCGCTTGCTCACAAACAAAAATATCTTTTTTCACACAAACTTCTTTTCTGAAATATTTTCAAAACAAACACTTTGTATGCATTCTCAACGATACAAGAATCATTACAAAGTTTTTCAAACCTAGGCATTTTCAAAATATTTTCAAACTTAAACATTCACAAAAGCATTTTCAAAGTGAGCTAGCGATTAAGAGCTCGTAGATAACTACGGATGAAAAGGGTGTTAACACCTTCCCTTTTCATAACCTACCCCCTTACTCAGAAAAATTCTCAAAGGTCTTTCCTGTTCTTTTCACCCTTTCCTTTATTGGATAAAAGAAAAGTCGGTGGCGACTCTTGCTATCCGCAACATTTGCGATAAAATACAAAACCAGAAGTCAGTTCTCCCGCCGTATTACACCTCTATATGGTAATATAATCACAAAGATTCTGGAACATATCAGATTCAATTTTTGAGAAGAATATTATAGAAAAGATATAATTAAAATACTAAAATCAGTTTTAGCAACAATCAGATTTGAGATCATCAATGAAAATGACTGAAAAGTAAATGAGAGGAAGTGAAAAGAAAATGATCAAGAAATACCCATAGAAATAGACGATTTTAACTACTATATTCCTTAACCTCCTTAACTACCCTCAACTGAAGACTCACTCAAAGTCATAATTAGGAAGATAGACGTGATTAATGACAAGTTCAAAATCATAACTCGACACTTTATCCCAGAACCAACACAACTACCAAGAGATATGTTCTTTGATGATGATTTTGATATAGAATATTATTACATATGTGTCTAAGTGTGTTTAATTTCATGTTATTTCCTGCTTTGCGTACTATTTCAATTATGTAATTTTTCTTTTGTGCTTTGAATTATTAGCAATTTTAACTAATAAAAGAGTACTGTTTTTTCCTTCCTAAATATTTATTTTTCAATATGTTTGCATATTTAATTATTGCAATGTATCTTTACTAACTCTTTTTATTCTGACGAAATTGGAGAAGTATACTCTCAAAGAAAGTAGAGTATACTCTCTATTTAATTAAAGAGAATTTAATCACTTCAAACACATATCTACTATTTTTTTTACCAACTCTCTGAAAAATGTGTTGTCCTCGTCAAAAAGAAAATTCAAAGATTAAGATCTTCCTTGATCACTAAACCTACGAATCATGATTTCACATGTTCCTCCTCCAAAATCAAATCTTCTTATTTCATATGTTTTATTCCTTCTATCTTACTGTGTTTCCACTCGTATGGGGAAATATTTCCATGCCTCAAAGCTTTCATTCTTCGACAACTCTTGTTTCACTTCCACATCTTCCTCAAAGATATCATTGTGATGGTGACTTTGTAAAGTTTCTCCCTTTTTCAGATCAAGTCACATGTATTGGATTTGAATTCTTAAAAGTATAAAATTAGAAGGAAATTAAGACATCATTAGAGAATTAGAGAGATAGAAAGGGAGATTAAAATATTAATATTTTTAATAGTGATTAAAATGTTATTAATTTATTTTTTATAAATTAATAAATATATGTTATCAAATTGTTTTATAATTATATAGTATATTTTTTAGAACAATTAAAAAAATAGAAATTCGACAAAAAAAAATCAAAACTTTTTTTAAAACTCAATCTATGAGGAAATGAAAGTCTTAAGAAAAATAAAAATATTGAAAGAAAATTAGAAAGATAGGACAAATAAGAATATTAATATTTTTAATAATAACAAATTCTGATTGTTAACATTTTTATAAAATAAATAAATTTATAAAAGTACACATACAGCCAATAATTAAATGTATTTGAGAGTGAAATTTTAATTATTAGAATTCGGAAATCTTATTTTGTAACAGATTTAGTGAATTAAATTTTTGAATGACTAATTCTATGGTTAGATTGATCAAAAAATTTCAATCTCTAAATCTGCACTAAAAACAAAATTTTTAATATTGATTTTGTGATCAATACATGACAAGAATAAATTGTTTGGAGCAATGTTTTAAAATCCAAATCAGTTATCGATTAAGTATTGGATCATTAGGTCATAGGTCTTATGATTTCTAGTTCAATTTATACAAATTAAACAAAGTATTCATAAAATAAAATTTTTGACATAAATTTCATAATTATAAAATCAACAAAAAAAAAACTATAAATTTATTCATACAAATAAAATGAATAACAATCTTAAATAACATTCTAACTTCTAAACATAATGTTGATGCTCATAAATTAATAAAATTAGGAAAAGTAATTGGATTATATAAATAACATAAACTAATAAATTATTATAGAACATAAAAATATTATGGTTTATATAAATAATAAAAATTAAAAGTTAGAGTAGAAAATAAAAGTTTAATTAAATAAAAAGTGACTAAAAATAATGTGATTTTTATTTAAATATATAATGAAATTTATATTGAAAATAATGTAAAAATTTAATTTCATCTTCCTTAGGCAATATAAATTATTATTTTTTAAATAATGAAACTCATACTGAAAATAATGTGAAAATATATATCTTTATTTTTCTTTGATAATATAATTTGTTTTCAAAACTTTTATTAATTTATAGTATTATTATGTCATATAATTAATTTTTTAATTTACAGTTTTTTATATTATTATATTATATATGATTAATAATAAATAGTTTAATGAGAATTTTAAAAAGAAATGTTGTAATTATAAAATATATAATCCTCTTCTCTTTGACCAAATGAAATATCAAAGGTTTTAATGGTGTATGTGGTAAAACTATAATCCTAATAGTTTTGAAAGATTACAAATCTGATTTTTAAAATTTGATAAAATTTCATTTTTATAATTTTAATATTATTTAGTTATTATAAATAATTAACATATTTATAAATATTAATAAAATCGAATTTTAAAATAGAGATACTATAATTAAAATGTGATCAAAACTATAATTAAGCTAAAAATCTATATATAAAAAATTAATTTGTTAGATTAAAAAATTCACCGGTTCACTGGTCAGACCAGTAAACCGACTGAGTCACACTGATTTTCATAGAGTCAACTGTAACTATGATCTGATAATCTTTATTAGATCACTCTACTCTCTAGTTCACGTTCTAATCGATTTGATTTTATCATAATTGATGTAGGAAGGATAACTGCATGTGTCGAAGAAGATATCGTGCGTCAGACATTTTAATATTTAAGCAATTTTCTATTTTAATATTTAAATAATTTATATTTTATTTTATTTTAGATTAAAGACCGTCATTAAAATTATTTTATGTTATATAATTAAAGACTTTTGCATAATTATAAAGATTATCTTTTGTATAATAAAATTTAATGTTTTCTTTATTTCAGTTGCATTTCATAATTTATCCGACAAATTTTCTACTTACAACTCTATTTTTTTATTTTAAATCTAGCGCTTTGTTATAGAACTTTTCGTTTTTACGAATTTTAAAATACTTGTTTAGAACCAACATTATTAAATTACACCGAAACTTAAACTTAAAGATTGTCTTCAAATTAAAAAAAAAATCATTTAATATTTTGACATTCAATTGTCAAAAATGAAAAAATATAAACATTAATCAAACATTATTTCCGTTAAAAAAATCAAATTTAATTTTTAAATATTGTCTTTTGCAAAAACTTTTTTACCATTAAAACTCTTTCTTTCATTTATAGTATTTGTACCATTCATAAAAAAATTATATAAATTTTTTTAAGTTACTTCCTCTACTTTTTATTATAAATCATTTATTTTGTATAAGATAAATTAAAAGTGATTTTAAAAAACTGTTATCTTGAAATGTTAAATTTAAAAAATTAAATAAAAAGTAATAAATACGTAAGAGTATAAAAAATATGACTCATGATTCATTGATATTATAAATTGACATATATTTTGAATGATTTATTTATTTAAAATTATCTATAATTAAAAAAAACAAAAGAAGTAATTAACTAGATTATTCATTTGGAGACATAGAAGTATTATTTAATAAGTATTTAATAATAAAAATGGTAACAACTTCAGAGCAGGTTTTCTTAATAAAATAAGGCAGATGAAAAAGAAGAAAAAACCAAAGGTTATTATTTGGGTTGACACTTAACAGAACAAAGCATTGAAAATCAAGAACATGACACAATAAAATAAAATCACTCTCTAGAAATCATCATCATCGGAAAGTTTTTCTGCAATGTACTCAGCACCTTCAACCAACGCGACTCCACCAAGTACCCCAGCAACCGCTCCCACAGCCAATCCCGTTCCCATTCCACCAAACTTACTCTTCTTCTTTTCCTCCACTTGTACATACACATTCGTTTGTGAACTATACGACGGCGTTTGAGGGTACCCCGCTGGTGGATCAGCTGAATAATACGGTCCCGGTTGAGCAGGTGCACCGTATGGAACACCATAAGCAGGAGGATAATACGCACCCTGCGCATGATAGGCATTCTCTCTGATCCCCACCTTAACCTCAACCTTCCCTTGCGGCCTTCCAGAAGGCCGTTTCAATGTGAGCACACGACTCTCCCGCTCGCCGATACCGAAATCAAGAACATCAACGAGCTGGAGCCGAGCCGAGCCGATGAGTTTCTTAGTATCTTCTTCAAATCCAGCGTGAACGATATCAATGTATAAAGTGAGATCCTCGAACCGTATCGGTGGTAAAGGGAGGATCATTGTTTGATTCCAGTCAGCTTCCGTGTCGCCATTTGCGTCTACATTGGTTGTGAACTTGTTGGCTTGATCAACCCAAACCACGGCGTATGGTTGGTTAGCGCCATGGCGCCAGTTCACGTTCTTGAGTGCTTTTGCTGATTTGAGAGTGAGGTCGAGTTCGTAACGATGTGATGACATTTTACTTCTTTCTTTTGGATTGGAGTAAGAGTTATGAAGTTGAATATGCTTGTTATGCTTTTATAAGGATATTGAGATTTGTTTCTTTTGGAATTTTCTTTTACTTCACTGCACTGTTTCAAAAGATGTTTTTCAAGCCTTACTTAAAATTTTGTTTTCCTTAAATACCTTTTTTTTTAAGGATAAAATATAACATTCTCTCACATCTTTATTATAAAAGAAAATTTTAAATTTTAAATTGATTAAATAAACAATATATATAGTCTATATTTAGTCCAAAATCTAAATATATTGATTATTTAATAAAATTAAAAATTGATTTTTTCTTATACTTAAGTCTGAAGGAATTAAAGCACTCCCTTTTTAAAATACAATGGGCGAAAAGCTGAATAAGGTTTTTGCAACATCCATTTAGACATTTTTTTTTGTTTTTTTTCTTTTATTATAATATAAACTATTATATTATTTTAATAATAAAAAAATAGGAAAAAAATTTAAAAATATCATATACAACTTTTTTTTTTTTTTAATTTTTCACTTTTTCCTAATTGGATGCCATCCCTTTTATTTATTTTTATTTATATTATTTTTATTATGCTTTTTTTTCTTGGTAATTAATACGTCTTAAAATAAATATTTTTTTAACTTTAAAATGTTGTTTCAAAATAATAGTTTATTATTTTTCGAATGCAATATTAATTAATTTTTATTAAGTTTACCTTTTATCTGCATGTTTTTCAAGTAATGACAATATATAACAACCAATAATAATTAAAGGTAATTTTATAAAAATGTTTGATCTTTCGGACACATTTATAAACAACAAAAATTATTCTTGTTGAACACCAAGGACGACTTCTCTACGAACCTAAGGGCTTCAGGGAAGGTCCCTAATGAACATAATTGCTTTGTATATTAAGTTAAGGGATTTGGAAGCTGACACAAGTGTGCGTGAGCTCCAAGCGATGTGTCTTGTTTGCCTCTGAGTCGGGAGCCCTATTTATAGAGGTGCATGGATCTCAATGATCACTGCATGTGACTGTCGTGACTTTCCATATTACGTAACTGGGCTGCCTTTAAGGAAAATAACGTCTGTCGTCGCCAATGATGGTTATTATCATAACGTGCATCGTCGCATAATGGTGAGCGGTTACGTCCTTAATGAGCCGACCATTGTGTAACAACTGCATTAAGGTCGAACTCGAGGTAACCTCTGGATCCGGGGTATGAGCCTGACCGCTACCTCTTCATCTTCTCTCGCGTCCGATTACACGATCCTCTGAGCTCACAACCCGGTTTAGGCTTTGTGGACTCGATCTGGGGTGCTAACCGGCTTATTGCCTACATATTTTCCTTGGCCTAGCAACCACACCTTAACTTTTATCTCATCTAGCCCGGACAATAGATCTATGTGTGAACATAAGCCCCACGAGCATATGGCTTTTATCTGAAGCCTTATGGTCGGTCAACGTAGAAGTGGATCTATGCTCCAGGCTGATCCTCCAAGACTGGACGATGATACCTTGGCGTGTGCGTTATCCACACCCTAATTTCTCAACAGTCCCCTAGTTCCCTAGGCGCAATCATTGATGGGGCCAAATTTGAATGTTTATACACGCTTCCTCTTCTTTGAGCGTTTTATTTCCCATAACTTTTCTTTTATAAAAACATTTCCCTTTTCATTTCATAAAGACTCTCTCAGTTCCCTTTGCAGGCATTCTCTTTCATTTCTTCAAAAATCTCTCAATCGACCACAGTTATCAGGTATTTCTCCCCTCTCTTTTACCTTATTTTTTTGGACATTTTATTTCTTTAGGAATGGTTATCATCAGAGAGTGTGACGATTTTGGAAATAAAAGACGTGACAACGATGAGGAGTAGAGAGTCATATGGGAGGAGTGCATGTAAGAGATGAGAGTTGCTTTAGGTGTAGATGAGTACGCACGAGTCATGAATAAAGTTTATAGTGAAGTTTTTACTTCTGAATTTGATTCTGACCCCGATTCTTCAGGTTCCGTGGCGGTCCTGATGGAATCTTTCAACTCTTTTAGTGAGGAGGTGATGAGTTATGATCAGAGCTCCGTGAATGAGGTGGAGATAGAGAAGCTTCGCTCTCTATGAAAGGTGTCCTCAATTGGGAATGAGGATGATGTGGTCCTGGGGGCTTGTATCTCTGGTGAACGAGTTTGCGGTCCTGACCAAGGGGAGTACAAGACGAGTGGTTTTATTTCTACGCGGGGGTGTTGGAAGATATGTTTATCCGTATTCCTTTTACTAATTTATAAGTGGATGTGCTGAAGATGGTGAATGTAGTCCCTTCTCAACTTTTCCCTAACAATTGTGGCTTTATCAAGGCTTTTGAAATGATTTGTGAAGCGTTGGATGTGACTCCTACCATTGGTCTGTTTTTTTCTTATTTTAAAGTCAGGAATGTAGAATCTGGGAGCCGGGATGCCATCAGTGGTGTTCCTCATAGAAGCTTCCTTCAAGCTTACACCACGAATTATAAGGGTTTTAAGGACCGGTTCCTACGTATTGGTTGTAGCCCGAGATATCCCCAGGTTCTCTATGCCGCTGACTGCCATCCCAAGTCTCCATTATATTGGACTGGAAACCCTCTACCCATATCCGGGTTTAACTACGATAAGCTGAGTGATCTTTGTTAGAACAAAGTTTGAATCTACTACCCTAAGTTTAAGTTTTGATGATAACAAAATGAAAAGATATATTAATTATGTGATTCATGTAAGAACTACTTGCTACCTAAAATATTACTTTCTGTTTTGCAGAAACTCTGATAGGTATCAGCAAGAGTACATCATAATCAGAATCAGAATATTGGATATCAACATCAGCATCAGAAGATGCTATATCAGATACCAGAATCAGAAGAACAACTCACGCTTATGTTGAAGCTTGATGAACAGATCTGCGCTCAACACTCTGAACTCTGATAAAGACAACAACAGTTCATCAGCACTTAAGCAACGTCAGAATGAGCCAAAGCCAGAACATGCTTTAGTAGCAACGGCACTGTGCATTCAAGATGAGTTATTACCAACGGCATCATTCCAGACAAGATCTGCTTAATAAGGAAAGATTGTTATTGGCATTGAATCAGAATTATTGCTCCAACGTTCACTAATTTCAATGCTATATAAACAAGTCAATGAAGATTGAATTGGCTAATGCTCTACATCAATTTACACGCCTAAAAGCTAATCATCATCTTCCTTACTCTCAGTTTGCTAAAAGCTCCAAAATTCCTTACTCAATAATTTTAGCAATCTAGTTTCCATAAGCTTAAGTTGTGTAGTATCACAGTTGTGATAAACAGTTTTGTAGAAAACATTCACACACCTAAATTTCAATTCTTTGTAAGAAAGTGATTCCTTGACAAACCGGTTTGTGGTTTGCATCAAGAAGGCTTTATCAGTTGTTAAAGCAGATTGTAATATTCAGTTGAATATAGTGGATTAAGACCTCGTTGGAGAGAGGCGAAATCACCTTGACGGGTGGACTGGAGTAGTTTGAGATCAAACGAACCAGGATAAAAATATCGTGTTCATTGCATTGATTTTCAGTTTTACAATTCAACCCCCCCTTCTTGTGTTTTTCACTTCTTCAATTGGCATCAGAGCGCCTGGTTCTGAGCTAAAACACTTAACCGTGTCAGTACAAGATCCAGCGTCAGAAAAACACAATGGCAGGAACTTATTCACACACCAGCAATGACAACCCATGAGGACAGAGACAGATTCAGCGGCAAACCTCCAGTCTTTGATGGAGAAAATTTTGATTACTGGAAAGACAGAATTGAAAGCTTCTTTCTGGCACATGATGCTGATCTGTGGGACATGGTGACAGATGGATACACGCACCCTGTGAATGCAAGCGGTCAGAAGATTGATAGGAAAACAATGTCTGACCAACAAAAGCGTGACTTTAAAAATCACCACAAGGCCAGAACCATCCTTCTCAGCGCCATCTCTTATGCTGAATATGAAAAGATCTCTAACAGAGACACAACAAAGAACATGTTTGACTCACTCAGAATGACGCATTAGGGCAACGTTCAGGTCAAAGAAACAAAAGCTCTTGCGCTTATTCAGAAGTATGAGGCATTCAAAATGGAAGAAAGTGAATCCATTGAAACAATGTTCTCAAGATTCCAGATTCTGGTAGCTGGTCTCAAGGTTCTGGACAAAGGTTACTCTACTGCTGATCACGTCAAGAAGATCATCAGAAGCTTACCTAAGCAGTGGAGGCCAATGGTTACAGCTCTGAAGCTAGCAAAAGATCTCAATAAAATTTCTCTGGAGGAACTTATCAGCTCCCTCAGAAGTCATGAGATAGAGCTAGAAGCTGATGAACCCCAAAAGCAAGGTAAGCCTTTAGCATTAAAATCTAACAAAAAATCTGAGTCTAAAGTTTTGCAGGCAGTTGAAGAAACATCTGATGGATCCTCATCAGAAGAAGACGAACTCTCCCTCCTCTCCAGAAGAGTGAATCAACTGTGGAAGCAGAGGCAAAGGAAGTTTAGGAATCCCAGAAGATCTGATCAGAACGAGTCTTCTTCCAGATACAGAAGGACAGATTCTTCCTCTGGATACAGAAGATCTGAAGGCTCCTCAGGAAGCAGAAAGCCAAACACCAAGGACATCATCTGCTATGAGTGCAATGAGCAAGGACACTACAAGAGTGACTGCCCAAAGCTTCAGAGGGAAAAGCCCAAAAATAAGTTTGGAAGAGAAAAGAAGAAAAGTCTCATGGCTACATGGGATGACTCTGACTCGTCTGAAGCTGACTCAGAATCAGATGATGAGAGAGCCAACATAGCTCTCATGGCCAACATTTCAGAAGATAGTGAAGCTTCTGAATCAGACTCAGAATCAGATACTGAAGAGGTATTTCCTGACTTTGCTGTTAATTTTACCAAGGCTGAACTTGCTGAAAGCCTTAACGAAATTATGGAAAGGTACCAGCAGATTATAGTTAAA